TAAACACAAACAGGAACAAGACATTAAAGGTTTGCCTGTATAAGTGGGAAGAATATTTTATTATTTGTCTGCATATTTCTCAGAAACAGCCATTGTGCTCTGGGAAAATACATATAGAGTTATTCTGCCCTCTAGTGAGCAGTACGCAGAAAAACACACGAAAAGCCTGTGCGCAGGCATGCCGACTGATCCCTGATTAAACACGATTCCATGCAGTCCTTAAAATACATCCATTTACATTAATCATTGATAAGGATAAAAACATATAACGTCTAAGCATTCATTTATTGAACGATTTTTAAAGTTTCGTGTGATTCATTTTCATGTTTCCCGTTGAAATACTCTTCATTTATTCAAATATTACCTCAATCACGTTTCTCTTCTGTTTTTTTATGTTCCCCACATTTTTGTTATCTGTAGACTATGAGCGGAACAAACACATCTATGCAACTTTCATATTTCGTGGCTCTGTTTCGCGTTATTTCCCATGAAAATAACTTCTAATTCAGCTCTTATTAAAAAGAATAATAATAATTTATTGGGGATTTTGATATCAAGTGTATTTGATTTGATTTCATATTTCAGTTTGATCAGCATACACATCACATATCTAAGCTGATTTACATTTAGCGCTTTTAAATCGTAAGAGGACATAATCATGTGTTCTGGGTGAGTGTCAGCGAAACAGAATTAAACTTCTACAGTTGAAAATAAATCTTTCTTAGAATATACAGAATAATCTTTCAATAAAGTACTGGAAGCACTAATAATGAGTGACGAGTAAAAATATAAAGAAGTAATACCTGGCAAATATCTCATGGGTAAATAATTTTGGTTACCAGCAGATGACGGTCACTTCACATATTACGGTCTTTTTGCTCATTGCCAGGAAACCCCAAATGTTGTTTTCCCAAGAAGATTGGCATTAGCCAAATCACGTGCAGATTCTTTGTTGATTTAGTACTGTTTATGATATTTCATATTATTTCTGCGGTTTAAACTCAGCAATGGTTATTTCATATTGGGCTATTTTAATGCCCGGACCATTTGCACTGAAATCGTGAGCTCCTCACGGAATACTATCTGGTGTAACACTTGTTGCCGAGCAACTAGTGTAAACTAAAAAAATAAATGGCCAAGTTTGTACTGGCAGGTAAGATGGAAATAGCATGTGTATGTGTAGTAAAATTAAATGCAACTTGAAATATTTCGTTATGCTGACTAGCGAAATATATGTAGCTAGGATATAACTACTTAACATTAGGCTAACTGCGAGGGTAACCTAACGTCATCAAACTTGATGCGTGATTGATGACGTTAACTATGTTTTTCATTATTTTCGGGCTGTTAACAAATGTTATCTCGTTAGACAAAGATGTTAAGAATAATATGTATGATATTCAAGAGAAAGCACAAACGTTATCAAATGTAAACTAACCTCGTTCGGTATGTTTGTTTGCCATAGGCAGGGCAGATTGCCCACACTTTGCTAAAGCGGAAATACTTGCGGACTTCCTCCAAACAAACCTCCCCAATTTTACTATTCATAAAATCTGCCAACACCCCAAGGACTGGAAGGTAACAAGATCATGTAATCAAAGGCACGGGAGAGGAAAGGAAGCAGGTCTTGTTTTCATTTCTTACACACCTACATTTACATATATATTCATAATTTTGTATTAATGTCTGTCATCAGATTATCAAAATAGGCTTTTGTGTCACCAAATGGGGTCAATTTGCCAAACAGTAGATAGCTATAATGTAGGTACGTGCCCTGTCGGAGTGGCACGTACATCCAAACATTCGCATCATTTGTAAACATTCAACATTCTTAGCTCTGCCATTTCTGTTGCCGTCTTCCCCAAACATCACACTGTCTGTCACTCTGTTCCTTGTATAGGTCTGCCTGTACTTCCTTTCTTTATGTCACTGTCTGTAGTTCTGTTCTTTTTATCATTGTCTGTAGTTCTGTTTTTGCATATCTCAGTGTGATTATGATTATTCCTCCCCATGTCTCTGGGTCCCAGCTTTGGCTGGAGAGCACCTGTGCTGCGAATGGCTGGAAGCACAGTGCCTCTCCCATAGTGTGGAGGGAGCTGGTGGACCGTGGGGGGAAGGGCCGTCTGCTCGGGGGATTCAGTGACTTCCTGGAGCACGTGAAGGTGTGCAGGTGTTCAGCGCTCCAAACTGTTCAGTCAACAAATCACCAATCATTTACTGTGATAAATTTTCTCTTGCCCAAAATTTTACTGATAAGCCTTTATTCCTGAGCTTTTCATCTGGGTTGAATATCTTGATTATTATGTTTGGCACTGTACCCTCACAATCATTTGCTGATAAAAGCATTATAATTCTCAGTCTCACTATTGCACCTAGTATGGCAGTTAACAGTATGTTATATGTTAATTTAAACAACTTTTTTTGCAATACTGATGAATTGGTATTATTTCTGCTGTCTATTTTGCTCAAGGAGTTCAGGTAAGACATCTTTCACCAGGGTGGGCTGGGGATTTAAACCTGCAACCTCAGAGTTTTACATTCAGTTTCATTATTATTATGCTTCACTGCTACCCATCAGTGTTCTCCCACATTTGATCAGTTGATGATGGGATGTCCTCGTCTTTCAGGAGTACTATGGAATCACTTCAGACATGAGCACAGCAGTAATGCTGGAGATCGCCGCGGAGAACCTGCAGACAGTAGAGCTGCGCATGGAGGAAGAGGAGCGTTTCCGCAGCCTCAGCCAGCCTCAGCACATCTGGATAAGCAGGTGGGGTCAAAGGTCATGCAGGGACCAGGCAGCAGTTAAGGGGGTGGAGTTTCAGAGCCATCCTTCTGACACAGTATTGATACACCAAGAAAATTCAAATCATAGGAGGTTCCATGGTGTAATGGTTAGCACTCTGGACTTTGAATCCAGTGATCTGAGTTCAAGTCTCAGTGGAACCTTTAATCCTGATTGTTTAAATTTCGGCTAAACTCTGGTCCTGCAGGGATCATGTTGTGAAAGCATCAGCATAAACTGTGTTGCCCAATGCATGATACTAAATGAACTGCTACCAAAAGGAGCACCCATTAGTGACTGGGTATAATATGCAGATAACCTTTTCTAAACATGAACACTACAGACTTTGGAATAATTAATTTTTTTGGTGGAAAACCATCAAAATTCTTATACTCTTCATGACCATGTGGCCTAATGGATAAGCGTCTGACTTCGGATCAGAAGATTGAGGGTTCGAGTCCCTTCGTGGTTGTTCATAACCACTCTTTTTAAAGATGATAGCAAGTATCTCATGCCTTATGTGTAAAATCTGATGACCACCTGGAACAGCAGCTAGAGAATCTTTCAGATGAATACTGGCTATTACGTTCCATGTCCCATTTGTGGAACTATCCATTGAAGGGAAGTAGGAGGTGTCATGGACCTTAAACTAGGAGTGCTGAGCTGCCAGTCACTGACTTTGAGCCAATCAAAATGCTTTGCTCGACACAGCGATTGGTTCAGCTCAGTTCAGTACTCTTAGCATACTCTAGTTGAACGCATTTGTGGTGCCGTAAAATCTTATTATTCTTCTCCTAATAAGAAGTATTCAATGGTCTGCTTTCAACCAATCATCAGACTTTGTTCTTCACTGGCATACACAGTGATTGGCTCAGGTGTCTCTATTACATGCTGGCTCCACCCATTTGTGGAAGTATGAAACCACATTCTTTCATCGCTGTTGTACAAGTGATTGATTCCTGGAGCTTCAGCTTCATCCTTTTCAATTCAACATTCTTTCAAAACCAGTTGTAAACAATATTTTTTGGTTTAAGAGTATAATCCTCAAACAATTTTTGATAAACTTTTATAAACATGAGGACCACTGCAGACTTAGGAATACTGTATTTTTTGACAGAAAAATAAAAATATTTCTCCATGCATTATGACTGCGTGGCCTAATGGATAAGGCGTCTGACTTCGGATCAGAAGATTGAGGGTTCGAGTCCCTTCGTGGTCGTTTATAACCCCCTTGTTTTAAAGATGACAGCATGTGCCTTATGTGTAAAATCTGATGACCATCTGGAACAGCAGCTAGAGAATCTTTCAGATGAATACTGGCTATTACGTTCAATGTCCCATTTGTGGAACTATCCATTGAAGGGAAGTAGGAGGTGTCATGGACCTTATACTAGGAGTGCTGAGCTGCCAGTCACTGACTTTGAGCCAATCAAAATGCTTTGCTCGACACAGCGATTGGTTCAGCTCAGTTCAGTACTCTTAGCATACTCTAGTTGAACGCATTTGTGGTGCCGTAAAATCTTATTATTCTTCTCCTAATAAGAAGTATTCAATGGTCTGCTTTCAACCAATCATCAGACTTTGCTCTTCACTGGCGTACACAGTGATTGGCTCAGGTGTCTCTATTACATGCTGGCTCCACCCATTTGTGGAAGTATGAAACCACATTCTTTCATCGCTGTTGTACAAGTGATTGATTCCCGGAGCTTCAGGTTTATCCTTTTCAATTCAACATCGTTTCAAAACCAGTTGTAAACAATATTTTTTGGTTTAAGAGTATAATCCTCAAACAATTTTTGATAAACTTTTGTAAACATGAGGACCACTGTAGACCTTGGAATACTGTATTTTTTGACAGAAAAATACAAATATTTCTGCACATGTTGTGACTGCGTGGCCTAATGGATAAGGCGTCTGACTTCGGATCAGAAGATTGAGGGTTCGAGTCCCTTCGTGGTCGTTATAACCCCCTTGTTTTAAAGATGACAGCATGTGCCTTATGTGTAAAATCTGATGACCATCTGGAACAGCAGCTAGAGAATCTTTCAGATGAATACTGGCTATTATGTTCAATGTCCCATTTGTGGAGCTATGGAACCACATTTGTTCATCACTGTTATTAAGTATTTAAACCTACAGCTGAGACATCACTGAAACACAAAAAGGCTTGGAAATCAATTCTTTTTTTACCACCCATTTGAAGTATGTATAAAACGTTTGTGTGGCCTAATGGATAAGGCATGTGACTTTGGATCAAAATGTTGAGGGTTGAAGTCTCTTCATACTCATCTGTAATGACTGGTTTTGAAGATGATTGTGTCTGTTATAAAAGTGCTTTAAAAAATGTAATGATTCAACTGCTGGTAAATTCAGATAAACATAAGGTTTAATGTAAACAAAATCATTCCTTGGAATGGGACCAAATCATTTGCGTGCCAGAGAGATGCTTGATCTTGGACTAAACTTTGACCTCTGACTTGCAGTGCTTTGAACCCAACCTGCTACCACTTGATTCCGCTGCTGTGTGACCCTGACGTGCTGCCGGACAAGCCTGCGCTCTGGCTCCACCTGCTGGAAGTGGAGGGTAATGAGGAGGCGCTGGAAGGGCTGAGGATGGAGGTGGAGGACCTGGCTCTCCCACGGCTCCAGCAGGTGAGCACTCACACCTGCCTGGACCAAACCTTCCTCCAGGCATGCATTGTGATCCTCCTGGATGAACCACAGTCTGAAATGGAGGAAAAGGCAGAGGAGAGGCTGCCGAGGGCAACATTCAACCGTTTCCGGCTCTATGGGCAGCGCATGGAAGCGGGCGCACTGAAAGATGTGAGAGTCATTGTGGCGGGAAATACCTTCGTCAACCTGAAGGCCTCTGTGCTGCTGGAGCATGCGCCCTCCATCGACAGCAGCCGCTTTGTTGCCATGGCAACGCAGCTGGAGAACGAGGCCCGGGCCCAGATTGCATGGAAGCTACAGGTGAAGCCTGCAGGTAACAGGTCCTCATGCCTGTGTTCGGTTTCTCCATTACAACCCCTATGGTAACAAACCCAGGTTTCACAGTAAACTATTCAGTCATCCATATGGAATGTGTGAGTGTGTATTAGGCGAGTCTTGGGGCCACAGACTCTATCACATTCTGGCTGCATTCATGTGTTGAGCTATAAAACCACAACCTCCCATTGCTGTTCTTGAGTATTTAAACCTACAGCTGAGACATCACTGAAATACATAACGGCCAGTAAGTTAGTTCCTATACCTGTGACCAAAAGTGTTAAAAAATTATTTTCAAAGGAAAAAAAGGAGTTAGAAGAAGGTTCCATGGTGTAATGGTTAGCACTTTGGCTTTTGAACGCAGTGATCTGAGTTCAGATGTTGGTGGAACCTTCTTAGTTGCTTATGGCCAGTTGAACCTCTTCTTCGGGGTTCAAGGTCTCATCGCTACATCTTCTAAAAACAAATTGTAACTGCAGAAATGAATTCGCACTTAAAAGAAACTGTTATCTTTCTCTACATCTCTACTCAGACAGCACTAGCTATGGAGCTCTTCAATTTTTCTGCACAATACAAGATTACTATGGACACTTCACTAGTTACTGCAGTTCTGCTGTTCATCTCTGTCTAGATCACAGTAACTTCACACACTATTCTAAAGAGAAAATGGTGGAGTGCTTTCTTGACTTCATTTCTTGACTTTTTTTTAATGATTTCTCAAACATGCTGTAAAAACCTCCTCAATTAAAACACTATTGCTGAAACTTGAAGAACAAAAGACTAAAAGATCAGTAAGTCCCAAGCAGACTTTTAGTGAATGAAAGGTCTTTGCTTTGCATGCTTTGGCACACACTGTGCTCAGGGTGTAGTCCGCTGCACACACTGTGCTCAGGGTGTAGTCCGCTGCACACTGTGCTCAGGGTGTAGTCCGCTGCACACACTGTGCTCAGGGTGTAGTCCGCTGCACACTGTGCTCAGGGTGTAGTCCGCTGCACACACCCAGATTGCACTTGCCAGCCCACCAGCTACTTGCCCATTCCCAGTTATTGACAGCTTTAGCAGAATTAGCTAATTGCTAAGATGTATGATGACCTCACAGTCATTTAAAGAACTGACCTACCAGTTTATTTATGTTTAATACTCCCTCCTACCTCCATCTTTTATCTTGATTGAGTCTGATTTGCTGAACACTGACTGGCAATACAGACGCACTTCAGTAATCTCTTTCTGCTGTTGGCTAATTGCTGAATTACGTCATACGTCTTATGATACCAAACCAGCACAGCTCATTGCATGGTTTAATATGGTATTGAGCGCTGATTACTCTAACATAGCTGTGTCTCCTGTCAGACGTGCGAGGTGTGATCGTATGGGGCAATATCAGTGGGACTTTCCACGCTGACCTGCAGCGCGCCCAGGTGTTCCAGTGCGAGGGAGCCGTCTGGGGACCCCCGACCTTCTCCCGGCCTGTCCTAGAGATGATACATGACCGGTATGAAACCGGTGGTACTCTAAACAGCACCAAGTCCACATCATGACCTATTCTAATTCATCCTCCCATTTTTTTCCATTATCATCAAATCTGTTTTATTTGCATACATTTTCTAAATGTTAAAATATGCCTGTCCTGCTTTTAGCGATACTGTTGAAAACTAAGAGCAAGCTGAACATAATGACAGGCTCTGATGATATACCCCATGTAGGGTCATATATTACCCACAGACCGGTGTGAGTCCAGCACTGTGACAAGCCTGGACCTCGCCGCCGCTAATGAAAAGTATATGATGAATATTTTCACTCAGTATGTAAGTCCAGTTGAGGAGAGAGGACCTCAGTAATGTTCCACATCTGCAGTGTTATGCTATGACTTCACAGCATGTTGCAAATGACTCATGAGTCTGTTATGAATAAAACAGGAAGTGGCTGGAGTCAGACTTCCTGCGCTTGGCCGGTTCCCGGCGTGCAACTGTGGCAACCACAACACAGAGGACTGCAGCTCTGTCAGCAGCCAATGGGATTGTTTCTGTCCTGAGAGCATGGGAATCTGGCTCCGCTCCTGGTGAAGTGTGCTCCCTTGGCGTTCTCAGTTCAGGTACATCAAACATAAGAATAAGAAAGAAAACGCCACACTCTCTATTACCTGTGCAGAGCAGTTTGTAATGTGAGCTTTCTGAATGGTTGCAGGGCAGTTTGAAATGTTAGCTTTCTGAATGGTTGCAGAGCAGTTTGAAATGTTAGCTTTCTGTATGGTTGCAGGGCAGTTTAATATTCCTGCAGGACTGGTGTTCTCTGTGCCAGTGAGCTTCCAGGGAGGGAGCTGGACAGTGCTGCCAGACATCACCATCAGTGAGGAGCTGCAGAGCAGTCTGCAGGCTGCAGCCAACCAACTCATAGCAGTGAGTTCTCACAGAGTTACAAACACAGAGCTTAGCGGGTCCTCACAGGGTTACAAACACACATATATGTTCGTTCTCAGAGGAATATACACTTAGAGCAACATATGCAGGAATACCACACCCTCACAGCATTACACACATTTACATGCTGAAACAAACAGTTACAAGAACAAATCAATGCACTGCAACACACATGAAAATACAGTTAAACCACACATGGTTAAATGCAGTGCAAAGGGCCTCTGAGTGGTAATTAGGGTCTCAGTAATTTGTCCTGAGGTCGGGGGTTCGATTCCCTGCTTCGCCATTCCCGGCTTTGGCCAGAAGTCCCATTGGCTAGGCAACAGGGGCACGGGGTGGGCCGGCCCATACACAGTCTCTACAGTGGTATTCACATGCAACAGGTATATCTGTTCAAATGAGTTCAAGAGAGAATACATTTTCATGATTTTCTTCTGTTCATTTTTTGTCCTCAGGAAAAAAACATTGTGGCAGATGTTCCATCATGACAAGGCAAGAGGCATTCATATGTACATGTCATGTGAAATGTCTTTCCTAATCATTGTTTACAGTATATATTGTCAAACTGTAAGTATGGTAGTAATACTTCACATGACTTTGTAGTATGTACCATTTTGTTTCTGACTGCCACTATGCCATATGTCCAGCAGAGGGAGTGAGCTTTCTCTCATATGGATAGACAGGGCTTTGGCAGGGAAATAGACTGTTTTTTTTTCTGTCTAATTTACTTCATCATGACAACAATACATATCATAAACAATAAAGCAAAAAAAGCTATTTACAAAAAGTATAATGAGAGTGCTGACCTGTCTGTATTTTCCTAAGTTATATTCTCCACATGAGCATTTATAAACTGAAGCAGCACAGCATGGTGTACATCTTCCTCTTCCTCTTCCTTATTTCTATCTTAAGCACAGTAGGTGCAGTGCGTTTTTACATTAAAATTTCAAATATTATTGGGACACCAAAGCTCAGTAAATATTTCAGAACTGGTACTTCGGTCTCTGTTTGCTGAAAGGATAACTGAAACATGAAAATGACTTGCTGACACAATCTTGAATTATAGCAGGCAGTGTGCTTGACAGTGGCACCACCACGCTGGTAACCCTTTCAGTCAGTAAGACGTCCCCTGCAAAAATCTTCAGAGTATCTTCAGACAATTCTTGGAGAGAGTTACATTTCAAAGATCATAACCCTCCTTCCCCATCAAGTTTACACTTCACAGATCCAAATGCTCAGATTAGTGGCCTTGGTTTTGCAGCCATGATTGCATTAGCAGTAACAGACAGTAGCAAATATGGACTTTTCCCACATCCATTTGCATCCAAATCGTGTTTATTTACAGCAGTGGCCGACCATTTGCTCTGAGCAGCAGCACTAAGGCAGAGTATCTGTAGGTGGCTGAACAGTTCAGTCTTAATGATGAGGAAGGTAATGAAGCTTTGAGGTGGCTGGCAGTAATTTGGGGTAACTTTGGTTGTGGGATCCTGTAGCCGGCTATTAGGCAGCCAGTGCCTTCAAATTATTGTTGTAGCTGTGATAGGTGAGGGTGCATTCATCACTGAGATAGCACATTCTCCTTCCAAACTGGAAATAGTTGGTGGTCGGGAGAATTCCTTCATTAGAGGGATACATTAGTATTCATGCTGAAAATGGTCTTTTTAGAATTCATGCAAGTACAGAACAATACAGGTGCAGGGGTACTTAAGCAAGTGCTTAACTAAGCTGGATGCTCATGTTTGCAGTCTAGTTTGAGAGTTTCTCAATAGCAGCATGTCTAAATGACAGCCTTTCCCCTGAGAAGAGGCTGCCACCACCAAATGAGTTGTCATGACAGCAGGAACAGGAGGAGCTGTCAATCACTTACCTTTTAAAGTGCTTTG